ACTATGTTATCAAACTAGATCTAACACTAAGTAACTGATGTTATGAATAAAATGAATTTTAAACTACATACAATAAAAAAAAGTAAATCATTTTTTTAAAAAAAGGTGGTCAGATTTGAGTGATAAAGAGATATAACCTATATTTAATATAATACGATGTGCTTAGAATTCATAAGGTATGTGACATTTCAAAAAAAAAAAATTATTTTGGTACACCATCAGACTGAAAATTAATAGTTCTTATTAGTAGAAAAAATTTGTAAATAAAAAACACATTATTGTAAAATCAAGATACCACTTCAGCTACACATGAAAATTAAAAAATAAATACAATATACATTATTTTGGTAGAATGTTTCCAATTCTCAAACTAACATNTATTTCCAATTCTCAAACCAATATTTTACTTGACATACCTCAAACAAGTAACAAGGAGAATTTAATAAAAAGAATTTAATACAAATTTAGAACAGTTTTCTGCTGTACTAAATATGCCATGTATGAGTAANCCAATATTTTACTTGACATACCTCAAACAACTAACAAGGAGAATTTAATAAAAAGAATTTAATACAAATTTAGAACAGTTTTCTGCTGTACTAAATATGCCATGTATGAGTAATAAGACGTATCAAAAATATCATGATTATATTGCTAAGCAAACTGAAAAAACTGCATGGGATTCGATAGAGAGGAAAGAAGAAACTAGGTTTGCTGTTGAAAATGGATAAGTGATTGATAAAGGACTTCCCATAAGAACAGGTTTATAAAACTTTAATATTTTAGTGTGTAAATAATGTAATTTTGTAAATTGAATTCTTATAATTAAAATTAGTTTTTTTATAGTTTTATAACTTCAAAATAATCGATGTGGATCTCATATGATTTAACTTGTTTTCTGTAAATATTTAGTTTTTCTTAATCGTCGAAAATAAATAGTTTAATCATTTTTATAATTAATTAAAATTTGTGAAATCATGACACGTCTATCAGTATTTACAATGAGGCTGGTGTTTAACTATAGTTTTTATACTACATAAAATAAACGTGTGTCGTTATCAACATAATCGTATTGCATCAAAAAGTAAGGCAGGTACACAACCGGTTTTGTCATCGACTTAACACGACGAAAATACTCCCAATAATGGACACTCACACTAATAATCATTTATTTCTCACACAACGACACTGCGTAACATGTAAAACCGCAAAATTGCCTATATTCGACCCCTGAAAAAAGGTCGGTACCAAGACGCCTAAAGTACTAATTCTAATAAAACTATCAAATACGTTTTTATCGGAAAATTACGACGGCTAGGAGCGTTGGCATTAGCCTATAGATGATCATAATTAAATTACTATTTTATTATTTACATGAATGTGTTAAATGTATTTTTAAATTTTTATCGTTATTAAGGTTAATGTTATTATTATTATATATATTTTTTTAATAAAATAGATTACGTACTTCACCATCAAACTATAATAATTGTTTTCTGTGGAATTGGCGATTGAAAAATACGTTAATTCAATTTTTAAAATTAATCTATTTTATCATTGAAACGGCAATTTTTTTACCATAAATTATTGGATATTTAAAAATAAATGAAGAACTATTGAATTTTTTTTTATACTGAAATACCAAATCTTTTCTCAACATTTTTAATGTTCTATNAATAAATGAAGAACTATTGAAATTTTTTTTATACTGAAATACCAAATCTTTTCTCAACATTTTTAATTTTCTATTATCTTCTTCCAGGCACGTAGCCAGAAAATGTTTATTGGAGGGGCCAACAATTTTGGGCCCTTGTATCATTTTCTATAATTTGTTTCCTATGAAAAGCTTGTGGGAGGGCTCTCTTCACTTTTCCTTAGACAGTATCCCATACTATGAATCTTACAAGTTCAAAATTTTACCATTGGTTGGTTAAAAACAAATTGTTTTCGTATAAAGTATACTAATTATTACAGTATTATAAAAAATGGATAAAACCTATAATTAAAAAAAAAAAATACTTTTATCTTCACTATCGGGATGAATTTTTCATATTGTGAAAAATAAATAAAATAATGATGTGAACATAAGCTGATTTAATTTTTCAACTTTTAAGCTATTAAAAAAAAAAAATTTATACCTAAATACTAATAACAAATAATTTTTAAAATAAATATAAATTATAAATAATGTAAAATTTATTTAATTTAAAATTAAAAACAATTCCTGCCTTTTTTTAGTCATATTTTTATTACTATTATTTAGAGCAGGCAAATAACAAATTACCAAAACAAATTTTCCCTCTTCTATATCCCATTTTACTAAGCCCCTCTCGTAAGCAACTCCTGGAACAATTTTCCGGTTTTTCGCCCGTTAGAATTCCAATTTCTCTCCGATCCCCGCGTTTCCCATACCGTTCGACGGCCCTTCCGGTCCCGCATCTTTTCCGACCGCCGCTCGAATTTTTCGCCATCCCCTTTTTCTTGAGTTCGCGATTTTCGTTATTTCATGGAACGCCAAACGACGCGAAATAGGGGAGCGTGCCTCACACTCGGCCTATAGCGTTCCCGCCGTTTGGTCCTTATCAGCGCCGTCCGACGCCCGAACATGTTCGTTATCACCGCGCCGTTTATTCTGTCATTGTTTCAATATAGTGTGTTGACTGTATTCATTAATTAATGTGATTTTGTAAGTTTTTTAGTTCAACTGCGATTGTATATATTAATTAATCGAAACTCGCGATTGGTAATTTTACATCGATTACGATTGACGTAGTTTATTTATTGTCGATATTGTGACGGTCTTATTTGATTTGATTTTGTAATTTTTAGATGGCGTTTGTCGTGTGCCTGGAGGACTGTTTCGATAATGGTTCGACCCGTTGGCCTAGAGTGCTGGCTCGATCAATCAATAGTGCTGTTAACGATCTACAACGGATTTATCAAACGGGTAACGCATTTCTGTTCGTTAAAAAACAAAAAAACCTGTGCGTTTTTACAACTATTGTAATCGATATAATTTCAAAATCGTTTATATAATCGTTGTAACGGCAGTATCCACTGATTTGATTTTATTACTTTTAGACGGCGTGTGTTGCGTCCCGAGATGGTATGCTTCGATAACGGCTCGGCCTGTTGGCCTAAAGTGCCGGGGCTCTGATTGACAACGGATTTATTACACGGGTAATTCTTTATTTTTATTTGTTCAATTAAGCGGTCGGTCGATATTTTATCTATCCCTCGGTGACTGTATCGTGTATTGAATATGTTCATTTTTATTATCGTGTTTACTCATGAACGTCTTTGTGGTTTTCTCGAGTATCTATTAATATGTGTAGTCGACTATCGTTTGATGATTGTTAAATATTTATTTTTAATGACTGTATTATTAACACGTTTTGTAAATTATTTCAATTTTGCAATCGTTATATTTGTATATTTTTGTTTGCGCATATTTGTTATTCCCTTTATGATTATTTTTGAATTATGATAATCTTTAAAATGTTAATATTATTTGGGAAACGGCAGTATTAATTTAATTTGTTTTTGTAATTTTTAGACTGTGCTACCGTTGTGGTGCCAAGATAACAACTAAGCTAGAGATTGATAGCAGTCATCGCTATTGGATTTATTGCATTGGTAATTCATTTTCATTTGTTAAAAGAAATTTATTGCTATTGACTTCTTAATATAGAGTTCATCTTTATACATTTTAATCAATTTATTTTGCATATATTAATCATAAGTTTCATTTGTATTTCATTTATTGGTGCAATTTGTACTACATCAGCCTATACAATCTCTATATGTATATATATATATATACATACATATAAATATATTTATATACTTTATATTGTAGATATTTTATTATTATTATGGTAATGGCAGTATTAATTGATTTGACTTTGTAATTTTCAGTCTGTGCATCTGTTTTGCCCGGTTGACTGTGATTGATTAGCGGCCAACCAACCCGAATAGTGCTGGCTCTAATTCATAATGGTTGTATTACACGGGTAACTGATCTTGACTTATTTTATTTGAAAAAAATTTAATTACTTTGCCTGCTTTAATTATTAGGTCGGTCGGTATTTTATTTGTTGTTGATTACAATGTAATATGTACTGCATCGGCCCATAAGATTCAAATGTTTTTGATTTTTTTGTACGTGTATATTTATTTATATTCAGTTATGCGATTATTTATCAAATTGTGTTTAATTAAGTTCATCTTATTACATAAGCAGCAATTGTAGTTTATATGAATATCTTTACCGATGAGAGTAAAACGGCAACGACGTGATTATTTATTAAAATGTGTAATTGATAATCATACAACAAATGAAATATTTAAATCTTTTTTTTTCTCCTCTATTACGATAGTGACTGTATTAATTAATGTGATTTGTAAATTATAGATAGTGCACGGCCTTTGGTAAATTTCACTTCCGTTGATGTGTTGATAGTTCTGTGCTATTGGTCTTTTTTTTTTGCCTATGCTTGCCCTCCCCTACTGTTCGCCGTTCCTTAAAAATGGTACTGTAAGCTTTTTGTTAGTTGTTATCTTGGATTTTATTTTGATTTATATTGTTTACTTTTTAGCCTGTCAAACCTCGATTTCATAAGATATTGCCATTCGACAATGGAGGATCATCAAGATTACTACATGCAGTCTGCTCTCGGAGTTCATCGAAAACATTTATTCTTTATTTAATTTACAACATAATTCTTTTACCAATATTATTGTATTGATTTAGGTTTGAGTCTCTCATTAAACCGTATTTTTCTAACGATAATTATATCAATTTGTATTCCAAATACTACATTACTTCAATATGAACAAAAATTTTTTATGTGTGTGATCGAGACAATAAAAAAACATTAATTATTAAAGAAACGTTAATTTTTTTATTTTTAAAAGAAACTAATATCCTATGTTTACAATATTTTTTATTATAGGTCGAAAAATAATAAAGTCTTGGTGTTTTTAAAACATTGTTCTATCACAATTTAAATTGCAATTGTTTATTTTTCTTATTATATCGATGATTAATTAATAATAATTATAATGCAATCAAATTATATTTCGAGTACTGTATTTCAATATGAATAAAACCTTTTTTTATGGGTGTTGTTGCCCAATAATGAAACATGATTTTTCCTATTTATATTACTTTTTTTATTTGAAAAAATAATAATTTTTTATGTGTGCCATATTTTTAAATACATTAAGACTTCTGATATAAAAAATATTGTATCTGATTTTACATTTTATGCATGGAAATTATCGTACACGGCGACTCTTACTGAGTCAATTATTATACAATGAACTCCGATTCGTATTCATTTTGTTCGAATGACAAACAATTCACTATTGTATTATTTTCAAATTTACAATTTTAAATATTTATTTATTTATTTAGCGAATACTTGGAATATTCGTTTTTGCCTACTCCATTAAATACATTCATCGTACTTTAATTTCGAATACTCTACTTTTTAACCCCTATTCGATACGAATGACCGTGTCACATGCCCGCCGCGCAAACGTCATACTGCCGCCAATGCCTTTTTCAAGAATGCGGTTGACCGTTGTCATTACCGTAGGTATTTATCCCCGTAAACCTTACTTTTCAACCGACGCGTTGGACATGCTACCGATTTCTCCTGTTATTGTCCAACGCTACGTATCCGGCACAGTCGGATACCCCTTTCCGTGATCTGTTACCTACTTTGTAACCAGCCTTTGCCACCCCTTCTCTAGATCGCGGAGCAAACACTCGGTTTCCGTAGCGAGGCGTATGTTCGAAACGTTGGACTTCCTTTCCGAAATCATCTTATCCCGATCCAACTTCGCTTTTGCAGCCTCTACAGAATAGTGGACGGGTTTGGATTTGTTGTGGGGTAGGGTTGCACTTTTTTCCGTAATCACTTGCTCCCGATCCCACTTTGCTTTTGGAGTCTCTTTGTTGGATTTCACGTGGGTTTGAATTTGTTGGGTTTACTGTGTACGATGGAGTTACACTTAGCTAGTACGATTCTAAATCATTAATATGTAGTTTTACTATAATTTTTTAGGTAACTGATAAAATTCTCGAGTAATACAAAAGGAGCGGGTCTATAATTTTTCATGTGAAAACATCTTAAGTTACGTCTGAGCATTTCCGCAGGAGGAGTGAACATTTTCGATCGTTACCTTTTTAGCGTTACACTCTATAAACTTAATCCAATCCAACTTAAAAAACTAAATCAAACCCAACTAGGTGTTCTTCGTGGCCATTTTACAGAACACGTCAAATTTACCCTATATGTACACTATAAGAGTAGGTGCTCAGTATTTTAAGGGGACTCAATTTAATTATTCCCTCCCTGAAAAATAAATTTTATATAACAATGTATATAATTTTACTCATTTTTTTAGGGGACTAAATTGCAAACGGAGAAGTTAAGCGCTCTGCCTTATACCCGATGCCTACGGTATACGCCACTTTATTATTTTAATTTCTTCTTACGCAGTATTCAATCTAATGATTGTTTTGCAGCAACTTCTATGTTTCTCTATCACTAGCCTTCCTATTCAACTCTTGATATGAATTACATCCTTGATCTTCTATTATCTGACTTATGTATTGCAATCTTGGTCTTCCTCTATAATTTTTTCCATCGATTATTTCTTAAAAGATTGATAATAGTAACCCATCGTACTTTAAAGTATGATCTATTAATTCATTTCGCCTTTTTGTATACTCTTTCATATTAATTTCCTCTCAGATACCCTTCCTAAAACTTCTTCATAAGTAGTTCTATCAGTCCAACTTATCTTTTCCATCCTCCTGTAGCACCACATTTCAAATGCTTTTATTCTTCTCATTTTTTTCTTGCGAAATTCGATGTTTCGCATCCATAAATATGATGCTCCAGATGTACATTTTTAGTAGATTCTTTCTAAAATTAAGGTCAATGTTTTTTGAAGTAAAAAGACTTCTTCTATATTAATTATTACTATTATAGTTATTTTAATTTATATTTTATATCTATATTAATTAATAAAAATTATATATATATTTTCACATATCCCAAGAATCGCAACCAAATGAAATGTGGTGTGTGATAAAATAATAATATGGCCTTATTAATATTTCTTTTTACGCCGTTGAAATGATTGTAAAAAAACCACAAATGATGTGAAATTTATATGGATTTTATATAGTTTGAATAAAAAATATACGTATAATCCTGTGCAGTTTATAATAATTCAAATTCATATTATCATTATATACAATGTTTATGTTAAACCGCTAAAACATTTTAAAATAATTTAAAGCAATTTGAAAAAAAAAAATTTTGAAAATTAGGTTTTAAATTCAATTTCTGAAACAGTTTTTATATAAAATATAATTCAAAATGTTTTAAACAAAGTTAGGTTAAATTAAAATGCTAATAAATAATCTCTGTTTAAATAACTAATTTAATACCGTTTTAAAATAATTAAAACCGTTTAGATGATACAAATAAAAGTTTATTAAAACTAACATAACAAAATATTTTTAAAATCATGAGAATTATCACTACCCTTAATAACCCTGAAAAAAATGTGTTAAAGACACTTGCCTAAAACTAAAAAAAATATGACTGTAGAAATACCATCATCTCGTTTTTCATATTAGGTATATGACATCAATTTCTACACGTAAAAGATCAAAGTTAAATTAATAACAGTGCCTAACAGATAAATACACTACGAAAATAGTTTATCCTGATAGATTAAATTTATATTGAAAACTTCAATATAATATATATTGAAGTTACAAAGATAGCCGTTATTGTCAAAAAAAAAATAATAATAATAAAATTAAAAATGCAAATAATTATTAAACCTATAAAGTAGTTAAATCCTAAAGTTATTTTCGATTTGTTAAAGTCGTTAAAATTAATTCAAATCTCCTGTTATTTTCTTTTTTCAGAATTATTATGTCAATTATTAATTAAATTGTTAAACTATATTATATATTTAACGTAATAAATTAGTATGTTGATTATAATCGCATGGCATGATGTTTTTTATTCATAACTAAATGGTGTTAGCAATGTCACCTGGGCAAAATGTTTAATAGTTACAAGAGTATAAATCCAAACGTTGATATTTTATTTCATACAAATTAAATTATATATGTATAAATATTCTGTTAACCGATATCAAATTTATTCCACTTGAACTTTCATAAAAAAATCTCTATCATTTATAAACTAATGTAATAAATAAGCAAACAAATACAAAAGTTTTTTCTTCAAAAAATCTTTTAAAAATATATACATATTTTGATAATTCTCTATAATAAACTCTTAACACATTGTATTATTTGACCAATAATAAAATAAAAATAAATAATTATTGTTTATACTAAATTTATTTATAATTGGCTTATACATTTTTTTAATGAATTTTTACAATTAAGTTTCCTTGACAATTAGATGTAAATGTTGATTTTATCGACATTTGAGTTCACTTCGTTTTTTCCCGTCTAAAATAAACTATCGTCTTGTGTAATTATTAAGATTTATTTAATTAGTTATTGATATGGCAAGTGGAAAAAATAATTTTGGTCAAAAAAATGAATCTAACTTACATAAGGTCATACGCAGAGTTGAAGAAGTATGGAATCGTCGTTTCATGCATTCAAACTGTGTTTTAAATGAACCAAATAAAGAGCAAATATCAAAAAATTCAACTAAAAATGGAAGAATTATCTGTAAACACTATAAAGATTAATAGTTAAACTAATTATTTCGAATAGAGAAAAAGTTTTTAATATAAAATATAAGAAAAATTAATAATAAGTTCTCTTATTCATATATAACAATAATTCAGTCGCTTTACTTTAATTTAACTATTTTAATATTAAAAAACTTTTTCGAAATTGATTATTTAATTAATAATTATTAAAATGATATTCAATTTGCAGCAATTATTAACAAAAATATTTATCCTATAACAAATTCCATTAATCCAAAAAAACGCACGTATCGAAAAACGAATAATATTGATAAAATTTTTCCTGAAAAATTGGTAACTATAATTATATATTAATATATTTATTCGATTTAGCAATGTTATTGGGGTTTGTCTGATTCAAAAATATAAAATAAACTATTAACCCCCTTAATATAAATGCGATAACATAATGTTTAATATTATTCTGCTATTTTTTCAATAAGATTTTTATGGGAAATTCAATTTTTATCGAAGATAATAATATAATATTAAATATAGTTTATTTGTTTATTTAAATATCTCTTTGGTTGCCTAGAAATCGATGCAGCGAGGGGAATTTGGATCACTTTTTCAGAATGATATATCTAGAAATTATAAAAATGAAATTTTAAATTCAACAGAAAAAAAAAATATAGCAATTTCAAAAGACAATCGGCAATTAGTATCAGCTGATTTGTTAGAAAAGGTATATTTTATTATGCTATTTTTCAATAAAAAGATTTTAGGGTATAACCTAAACCATTTTTTGGACTTAAAGCAGATTTCTTAAATAAATTTATCATATAATTAAATATATTTTTATGATCCGTTCAGAGTTTTCATAAGAAAAACTTGCAACGCAAAAAATCCAAAATAAAAAAACAACACCTTGAGATATCTTCTAATACTATTGCTCGACCAAATTTCAAAAGAAATTCATCCGAAGAAGATGAAAAAGTCATAAAAAGTATATAACTTTTAAAATATAATTCATTTTTAAAAAATAATATAATAAACATTTTGATTTTTGAAACAAATATGTAATATTTTAAAACATAAATTATTTTAGAGCCAAAAGTTAGTTCTAATCCTTTGACCTTAAATACGCCGAATGACGTAAATTTACTTGCTCTGTCCACTATTGA